AAATGTCCAAAGACGAAGTTAGGAAAACAAGCTTGCTCGGTATAATGAAACTCCAGGAACTTACTTCCCGCGTTTTCCGATCAAATTCACTTTGCATCTCTTCCATTTGATCATTAGATATTTTGGTTTGAGTGGCGGGAATATCAACTGAACTGTCTGAATGACTTCGAGACGAAATGATCGATTCCAGTTCACTTTTCAATTGCAGTATGTACAGTTTCAATAGAGCTACTTGTTCCTCCAAAGGAGCATTCTGATCCGGTTTTGTACTCTGGCGGAAAAGCAAAGCGATAACAAAGCGTCAGGCCAAATCTCAGTCATTCATGTATTGGCATGCTTTGGTGTACGAATTGTAATGCGAGGGTGCTACACAACAGCGATCTGAGGTTCACAATGCCGTCATATGAGAGTTTGAAAGAAGCTTGAAATATAAATATGATTTGGTGACAAACGGGCAGAACTATATATGTCATCCTACAGTATGGGAGAATATGTCACTGTACTTTAAAGAAAACTTGATGAAAACACCATTATGTAAAGCAAATCTTGTCTCAATAACACAGAACCGAATAAATGTTTTTTTGTATCTGTAATGGCAACTAAAAATTGATAAAATCTGGTCAAATATAGACAGAATAGCATATTCCATACTATTGCACCATCTTGCTTATGTGCAGAGGAATAACAAGGTAGCATTCCGAAAGCTCCAAAGCTCAACACCCTTGAGACACAGAGTACATATAAATATGTCGAGCGTTGAGGTAGTGGGTAAACTGGAGAATGCAGGAAAAAAAGCGAACCACTGTGTATTACACGAAGGTGAAACAAGTTGTGTGCTTATACATTCGGAATCAGGCTGACCACAATGATATCAGTGCATTGTTACTCAGTTTAGCATCGCCATATAAACGGTCAGGTGTAATATTTCGGATGATGCTAAGCACGGAGGAACTGCAAAATGCTGACACGTTTCAGCGCAGGCCGCCTGCTAGACTCGAAATCACGTGACCTGAAGTTCAACTTAGAAAATTTATTGGGGCGGAATAAAACATACAGGTTACGGACATGTATTCATTGCGTTTATATTTATCAGTCCCTAACTTAATCATGTGAGCTCAAATATGACCAGTGAATCATAGACAGAGGTAGAAAAAGTACGGGTCTACTTTCTTCGAAACATTGTTCTTGTCTTGTAGCAGGAATATCGGGTGAACATTGATCAGAATCGACATCTCCAGTTGAGCGCTGATAGTGGCGCTCTAAAAGAGAAAACCCCAATCTATCGCTCACGATAGCTCGATCATTTGTTGTGTTTGTCTGCCCATCCTCAACGTATTCGTGTTCTCTATACAATTGCTGAATAGGGTCAGAAGTGACGAGGCCTTCAGATCACGTCTTGAAATAAGGGTATGAAGAAATAAGTCTCGGTATTGAAGTTGTTTAGTGCTGCCCACCTATCAGGTATCGGGCCAAAATGGATCTGGATAGAAGTTGGTTAGATTCGCTCGTAGGTATGGCACAATAAAAACACCGGTGTATGCTTCAGTTGGTAAAATCTCGTACCCACTTCCCGAGGGGGAAAAACAGGAAACAGGCACAAGGAGGAAGCAATTAAACCAAACCTTTTTAACAACAGACTTTACCCGTTGGTACTTGTCTTCTACCGTTTCCAAGTCCATCAAGTTCACAACTCACTTGGACCAAAGCCTGCGTAATTTGTATTCTGTGGGTCCCCTTTAACCAAAGCTCCATTGAATTATTCCCTGCTTTGACTAAACTTTCATTCTCGTCATCCGTTGCTTCAATGTGGTCTCATCTTCCGCGTGAAAGAAAGTTAGTTGGAATGATAATACAGATGAAGTTTAGATTTCTCCCAACAAGCCTCAAATGCGGTTTATTTAACCTAAAAAGCTAAAGGGGAAATTTATTTTGTCCGAGAAGAAGATCAATTAGCCAGGAGTATAAACCAACGAAGCTATAGAGCCCAATCATTATAGCTCGGGATGCGGATGCCAGTGTCGGTGTGTTCTCCGATCCGGAGGTTTTTGTTAGCAGGCGTTTGGTATCCAGGTTAGGCGACATCATCAGTGTCAGTCAAACGCAAATCATCTGTATGGCCGGGATTAAACAGTTCTGTTCGCGTCAATCCTATTAGTCATGTGTGATTATTTGCAGCAATTTGATTGGCTGATACATTATTAATGGGTCCTCCTAGAACTAATCACCAACACCCGCATTTCGAGCTACAATTTTTCCACACTTTATTCTATGGAACGCAGTATTTGCCCATTCATAGGCAACTGCCGAAAACACTGAATGAAGTACGCGAACCTACCGCAAACATTTTGCTAACCGTCGATCCAACCTCAGCTATTTGAACATTCAAATTGTAGATAAGCTCATGCAATTTGTTTCGCATTGCTGTCGTGCGTTCTTTGACATCAGCCGCTTCTGTCTCGTGATATTCGACTTTTTCTTGTAAATCGGCCAAACGCCCATTTAAATCCTCCAATTCTTTGCCAAGTGCTTTCGACTCGGCACTTTTCTCATCATAAGTGACGGCCAATTCTTCCAGAGCTTGTAGCACATCTTTGATCTCTGAGCGACTGATATCCGCCTCATGCTGCACGGTAGATGGGACAAAATCAGTGGATAATGAGTGAGCGAGATTACAAAATAAACGTCCAAACAAAACAAGGGAAGAGAGGAAACACAAACAAACAAACAAACAAACCTGGGCCTTTTCTAATAACGTCTGTAGCTTCTCATTGTCTCGTTGTACTTTGTTGTAATCTTCACGTGTTTGCGCAATCTGATGTTCCAGTTTGGTGACAATTTGACACTGTTTGTTAATCTCGTCATCTTTTTCGTCCAACAGACGAAACAGCTCGAGGAACCGTTCCTCATCACTCATTTCAATATCCTTAATCAAGCGGGAACGCTACCAGTTCGATCAATCCGTGAGCGAAGGGATGGGTGGTTGGGAAGGTAGACATGGGAAGAGAAGAAATATGCCAAATAAATAAAAAGTCGTAACCCCGAAATAATTTTGTGGAAAACAATCATGCTAACTGAATGCTCGTTTTAAACAACGATTAGTAAGCATACCATCAATATAATGCAATACAAAGATCGAAAAATTTGCTCATCTCTACGCACTCAATAACATTCGGATTTTAATACTTCAGTATATTGATACGCTAGTCAATCATCTCAATATTCGAAACGTCGATCACACTTTTACCTTTATTTCTTTTATTTTGAAAACAGAACGTATTTGTGACTTTTTGAAGACCCTTTTATTACGGAGAAGTTTCATGCTCATTCATTCACAAGGTGTCTTTGAGTTCAACTCGGCCTAATTTTATGAACTCGCAGTTGATATTCTCTATTTTGCACTTTTACATCAATCTATGAAATTCTCAAGGTCAACTGGTATCTTACAATGCATCTGTTTTGAAATCTATCCGTATTTACAGATTTGATATCCTTATTGTACCTTCGGTCATCATAACAAGCATCGGTCGCGCTGAACCAACGTTCTATCAACAGACTGGCGGCTCTGTTTGCTTTTTCAAATAACTTTCGCTCTCTCGTGGGAAAAGTCGAAGATGTCCAGAATTTGGTACATTAGAAACATGGCGAAAATGTTGGAATTATTTTATTGCAGACAAGTTGGCTACATCCGGGACTTGAGGATAAATGTCGTTGCAGTTGATGGATTCCACAATTTCAGGATCGACCGGATTGAGAATTTTCACAACAGAGGTGGTGGAATGGTCACCGGAGTTGGTGTAACAATACCAAGTTGATGTTTTTTGATTCTCAACTAGCAAAAGTAATTGTACTATTGTTCGCTGAAAGCTCCGCTCTCTCCGCAGGTTTCGTTATCAATTAAACGGCTCTTGCTTCTACATTCTCATAACAACTTTTCGATCTCTCGGCTTTGGCCCACGAGTTGGACACTGCACTTTGTGATGAGAAACTGAAATCTATAGCCTGGCCGTCACATTCAGTTCAGTTTGTATAACCATTAACTACGCATATTCGTGCGCCGGTTTTGGTTGCTGTGGTCACATTATTGTTCCAAAAATAATTAGAAAGAGTATCAGCTAACTATTTTTGTTCACTCAGTTCACCCGTGAATACTTCCGCTTACCGTTATTCCCTTTCAGTAGAGTGTTTTAATCCTTGACATACTGAACCAAACATCGTTTACTATATAATTTTTGAAAACAGAGACACGTGGTGCAATGGAAATATTTGTGATAACTGACAAAGTGCCCTCACTGGACAGCTGTTTCGTCCTGTTTGGGACTCGTCAGCAGTGCGTACTTTTTATGTCCCTGTCAGGACTCGAACCTAGTGCCTCTCAACAATCGAATGAGCTAATCCAAGTTTACTAAAGTAAAAGAGGCACGTGATGGTAAAAACATTCATACGTTCTAATAAATGTTAAAAGTAGAGAATTAGACTAAGTTATGCAATGCGGTACACCTGGTTCTCCCAAAAATTGTTTAAAACCAATACAATTTCTAAAAAAAAATCACCGACCAATGCACGGTAAATTACAATTACAATTGTGAATCAATACTTAGTGCGACCAGTTCACTAGGAAAAGCAGACAATCAAATGCCTGTGAATATTCTTTTCGATATGCGAACAAACATCGAAAAGTGGAGCTGATTGTGTAAACACAGCATTCCTATTCTAAATCCGGATCACGCCCAGCAGCTATCAGTCTTCGACAACCGTTGTCTGCGCAACATCGCCCGCGTACAATGGGAGCATCGCGTGAATAACGATGAAGTCAGACGACGGGTGCTAGGACCAGATGGTCTTCCTTTGAGCAAACTAATTTCACAACATCGTCTTAGGGTACGTCATACGAATGCCTGAACACCATCTGCCACACCGTGCACTACTCGCAGACATCGGTCCAGGCTGGAAGAAACAACGAGGTGGGCTGGCTATAACGTGTCGCAGAGGGTCAAAGAGATTGTGCTCGGATCTGGCTTCCGTTGGAGTTTCTCGGATCCCCGGTTGGGGCCCAAAACATTCAGATCGTCTTTGGCTGAAGACACTGTGGGATATGGCATCGAACCGAAGTCAGTGGCACGAATGCATCACCTCTTGTCTACCATCCCCGCTTTTGTACCTATACTTTTTCGTTCACCCGTGTTCACTTTTGGCGCC